TGCCCTCCCCACTCCCCACACCCTTTTCCTCTCACCCTGTACACCTTTCCTCCTCACTTCTGTCACCCTGCCCTCCCCACACCTTTCTCCCTCACTCAGACCCCTGCTCCCTCCCCTTACTCTGTACACCCTTCTCCCTCACCCCACACCCTTCCCTCTCACCCCAGACCCTTCCCTCTGACCCCACACCCTTTTTCTCCCCTCTCACCCCACACCCTTCCTCTCACCCACACCCTGCCCTCCTCACCCCTGTACACCCTGCCCTTCCTCACCCTGCACACCCTTCCCTCCCTCACCCTGTACACCTTCCCCCTCACCCTGCACCCTTCTCCTCACCCCTGCACACCCTTCCCCTCCTCACCCTGTACACCCCTGCCCTCCCTCACCTCTACACCCTGCTCCTTCCCTCACTCCTGTACACCCTTTCCCCTCCTCACCCCTGTACACCCTTCCCTCCCTCACCCTGCACACCCTTCCTCCTCACCCTGTACTCCTTCCCTGACCCCTCCCCACACCTCTCCCCACCCTGCACACCCCTGCCCCTCCCCACCCCCACACCCTGCCCTCTCCCCACCCCACACCCTGCTCCTCCCCACCCTGCACCCTGCTCCCCACCCCTCCCCACCCTCCTCACCCTGCCCCTCCCCCACCCTGCACACCCCTTCCCTCACCCCACACCCTTCCTCCCCACTCTACACCCTTCCCTCACCCCACACCCTGCCCTCTTCACCCTGTGCACACCCTGCCCTCCCCCCTCACTTCCTGTACACCCTGCCCTCACCCTGTACACCTCACCCCGTCTGCACCTTTTTCTTCTGTATCAGTTTCCCAATCTGATTGGCCATCCCCTACCAGATTCCCCGCTCCCCACCCTCACCCATCACCTCCATCCCCACCCACCACCCTAATCCACCACCCTCACCCATCACCTACCTTCATCCACCTCCCATCTGCCTCATCCCACCCTCCTCCCCAGCACCCCCCCTCACCTGTCATCCCTCACCCACCATAACTCGCCTGAGAACTTGACCTGGCAGGAAATTGGTGGGTTGGGTAGGCGTCCCTCGTAAACCATCAGGCTGTTACTGAGCTGTGTCTGACCTCCACCTCTGTTTCCTGAGTCTTAAGTGGGAGAGCGAAGTTTAGGAACTCTCGCTTATTATACCTGATGATTAAATGCACTCATTCTTCCTGGAGGTGTTAGGTTAGGTTAGGTTAGGTTAAGTTCTGGTCACCGTTGTGGTTGTGATTCAAGGAGAATGAAAAGATTAATCCTGCATTAATAACCTTCAGTACAGAGACAGGTTAAAACATCTTTAATTCTCAATTTCGAGAGACGTAGAGTGAAGGACGATATGATTTATATAAAGGGTTAGGCTGAATTAAAAGGGACATTACAAAGGTACTCAAACTATCCAACCAGGAGCGAACTTGTGTAATGGTTTTAAATTAGACAAATTAGATTTAGAGAAATAGGAAACATTGGTTTAGAAATAGATATGACTGGAGGGACAAGTTAACAAATCATCATTAACTCGAATACTCTGGATAGCTTCAAACATAGGTTGATGGTTATATGAACAAAGGAGATGGGTAAATGGGACTGCCCAGTATGGTCATGTATGATGAGGTTAAATTAATTAGTTCAGGTTAGGTTAGGTTAATATGGGTTGGATAAATTAAATTATGTTAGATTATTTGTTGTGTTTAGTAGGTTAGGCTTGATTAGGTTAACTTTGGTTAACATGAGTGTTTAATCAACATGTAGTATAAGCTGGGACGCCTTATAATCTTTATGCAATCCGTTATTGCTTATTACATTACAAGGAGTCCTCATCCTTCGTGATTTGTTTAAAGTAATAACAAATGAAGCTGGAGTATGAGTGTATGTAAATGAAGGAGGGAAGAAACTTAAATATCCTAGTTTTGTGAGAGAGAGAGAGAGAGAGAGAGAGGAGAGAGAGAGAGAGAGAGAGAGAGAGAGAGAGAGAGAGAGGAGAGTGTGTGGGGTTTGTTTAATTTACTCTCACACTCAACTGTTTCATTTAAATGAGTCCAAGAGGTGTTGAGATCAGTGAAGACCAAGAACACACACACACACACACACACACACACACACACACACACACACACACACACACACACACACACACAGTAGCCAGAAATATGGTACGGTTAATGGTGCCCGAAATACGCGCCATGTTAATGGTGACCAGACATGCGCCGCTCAATAGGTGCCCAAAATACGATACAAGTTAATGGTGACCAGACATGCAACACCTACTATATAATCCTCAATAAAGATGTCATATAATGTAATACATCAACCACCATTATCACCACCATCACCATCACCACTAACACCATTACTACTATTATTATTATTATCATCATCATCATCATCATCATCATCACTATTACTACTATCATCACGACTATTATTACTATCATCATCACTATCACCATTATTACTACTATCATCACGACTATTATTACTATCATCGTCACCACCATCACCACCACTATTACTACTATCATCACGACTATTATTACTATCATCGTCACCACCACCATCACCACTATTACTACTATCATAACGACTATTATTACTATCATCACCACCACTATTACTACTATCATCAAGACTATTACTACTACTACCACCACTATTACTACTATCATAACGACTATTATTACTATCATCACCACCATCACCACCACTATTACTACTATCATCAAGACTATTATTACTATCATCATCACTATCACCATTATTACTACCTTCATCACCACCTTCCACCACCTTCCCTCACCCTTCCTAGCTTTCAACTTCAAATCAAACCATAAGAGACGATAAAAGGACATCAATACACTATTTGTCGCATAACAGTTCCTGACCTTCATGATATTGTTACTACATGATATAATATTCATCAATTATTTATCCATAATAGTCACTCACATCACTCCACCTGTTGTAGTCACGTTGCCTAATCTCAGGTAGGTTTTCCACCTCTGTCGTAATCCATCATGTAATCAGGACTCGCTGTCGTTATAGTTAGGTCATCACGTTCTGGGGTCAGGTCACCTACTACCTGACCTAGCACAGCCCATGATAATATTCTCTTCGACTCTATGATGTCTAAGGGAAGCTTCTTTCTCACAACTTCTCTCGTGTTATTTTAAATTAATTTGAATCACCTGAAGTTTATGATGACATTGATGGGCGGCTGAACCATCCTTGGTCAATGCGAGTAACTGTCTGCCACTGTTGGCAGGCCTGCACTGCCCCCATTGTTGGCAGGCCTGCACCGCCTCCCACTGTTGGCAGGCCTGCACTGCCTCCCACTGCTCAGGCCTGCACTGGCTCTCCCAATGTTGGCAGGCCTGCACTGCCTCCCACTGCTGGCAGGCCTGCACCGCCTCCCACTGCTGTGCAGGCCTGCACCGCCTCCCACTGTTGCAGGCCTGCACTGCCTCCCCACTGCTGGCAGGCCTGCACCGCCTCCCACTGTTGGCAGGCCTGCACCGCCTCCCCACTGTTGGCAGGCCTGCACTGCCTCCCACTGTTGCAGCCTGCACTGCCTCCCACTGCTGGTGGAGGCCTGCACCGCCTCCCACTGTTGGCAGGCCTGCACTGCCTCCCACTGCTGGTAGTCCTGCACTGCCTCCCACTGCTGGCAGGCCTGCACCGCCTCCCACTGCTGGCAGGCCTGCACTGCCTCCCACTGCTGGCAGGCCTGCACCGCCTCCCACTGTTGCAGGCCTGCGACCACTCCCACTGCTGGCAGGCCTGCACTGCCTCCCCACGGCTGGCAGGCCTGCACTGCCTCCCCATCGTTGGCAGGCCTGCACCGCCTCCCATCGTTGGCAGGCCTGCATCCTCACTGCTGGCAGTCCTGCACCGCCTCCCACTGTCAGGCCTGCACCGCCTCCCACTGCTGGCAGGCCTGCACTGCCTCCCACTGTTGGCAGGGCCTGCACCGCCTCCCACTGCTGGCAGGCCTGCACTGCCTCCCACTCGCTGGCAGGCCTGCACTGCCTCCCACTGCTGGCAGGCCTGCACTGCCTCCCACTGGCGGGCCTGCACTGCCTCCCCATCGCTGGCAGGCCTGCACCTCCTCCCACTGCTGGCAGGCCTGCACTGCCTCCCATCGTTGGCAGGCCTGCACCGCCTCCCACGCTGGCAGGCCTGCACCGCCTCCCATCGTTGGCAGGCCTGCACCGCCCCACCGCTGGCAGGCCTGCACCGCTCCCATCGTTACAGGCCTGCACCGCCTCCCATCGTTGGCGGCCTGCACTGCCTCCCCATCGCTGGGTGGCCTGCACCGCCTCCCATCCCACCTCCCATCCTTGCACCGCCTCCCATCGTTGGCATGCCTGCACCGCCTCCCATCGTTGGCAGGCCTGGACCTTCCCATCGTTGGCAGGCCTGCACTGCCTCCCATCCTGCACCGGCCCCATCCTGCACCGCCCCCATCGCTGGCATGCCTGCACCGCCTCCCACGTTGGCATGCCTGCACTGCCCCATCGCTGGCATGCCTGCACCGCCCCATCGCTGGCATGCCTCCCCATCGCTGGCATGCCTGCACCTCCCATCAGCACCCACTCCCCACTGGCATGCCCACCGCCTCCCACTGCTGGCATGCCTGCACCGCCTCCCATCGCTGGCATGCCTGCACCGCCCCACTGCTGGCAGGCCTGCACCGCCTCCCATCTGCTGGCATGCCCGGCACTGCCCCCATCGCTGGCATGCCTGCACCGCCTCCCATCGTCTGGCGATGCCTGCACCGCCTCCCACTGCTGGCATGCCTGCACCGCCCCATCGCTGGCATGCCTGCACCGCCTCCCCATCGCTGGCAGGCCTGCACCGCCTCCCATCGCTGCATGCCTGCACCGCTCCCACTGCAAGCCCCATCACAGCCTGCACCGCCTCCCATCGCTGAGGCCTGCACCGCTCCCACCGTTGCATGCCTGCACTGCCCCCATCGCTGGCATGCCTGCACCGCTCCCATCGCTAAGTGTGCACCGCCTCCCATCGCTGGCATGCCTGCACTCGGCTCCCACTGCTGGCATGCCTGCACCGCCTCCCATCGTTGGAGATGCCTGCACCGCCCCATCGCTGACATGCCTGCACCGCCTCCCATCGCTGGGCATGCCTGCACCGCCCCACCTGGCAGGCCTGCACCGCCCCATCGCTGGCAGGCACCGCTCCATCGCTGGCATGCCCCACCGCCCCATCGCTGGGCACCTGCACTGCCTCCACTGCACACTGGCATACCTGCACAGCCCCATCGCTGGTATACTCCACACTGCCTCCCCATCGCTGAGGCCTGCACTGCCCCATCACGCATGCTGCCCACCGCCTCCCATCGTTGGCATACCTGCACAGCCTCCCATCGCTGGTATACCCACACTGCTCCCATTGCTGGGTGCATGCCCACCCCTCCATCGTTGGCATGCCTGCACCGGCCCCATCGTTGGCATGCCTGCACGCCTCCCATCGCTGGCATGCCTGCACAGCTCCCATCGCTGGCATGCCTGCACCGCCTCCCATCGCTGGCAGGCCTGCACGCCTCCCATCGTTGGCATGCCTGCACCGCCTCCCACGCCGGGCAGGCCTGCACAGCCTCCCCATCGCTGGCATGCCTGCACCGCCTCCCATCGTCAGTAGCCTGCACCATCCATCGTTGGCATGCACCGCACGCCTGCACTCCCATCGTTCGGGCCTGCACCGCCTCCCATCGTTGGCATGCCTGCACCGCTCCCATCGTTGCACTGCTCCCCATCGTTGGCATGCCCACCGCCCCATCGCTGGCATGCCTGCACCGCCTCCCATCGCTGGCATGCCTGCACCGCCTCCCCATCGCTGGCAGGCCTGCACCGCCCCATCGCTGGCAGGCCTGCACCGCCCATCGCTGCATGCCTGCACCCCATCGCTGGCATACCTGCACTGCCTCCCATCGCTGGCATGCCTGCACCGCCCCATTGCTGGCATACCTGCACAGCCTCCCATCGCTGGATGCCACACCGCCCCATCGCTGGCAGGCCTGCACCGCTCCCATCGCTGGCATGCCTGCACCGCCTCCCATCGTTGGCATGCCTGCACAGCCTCCCATCGCTGGCATACCCGCACTGCTCCCCATCGCTGGCATGCCTGCACCGCCTCCCATCGCTTGGCATGCCTGCACTGCCCCATCGTTGCCAGCTGCCTCCCCATCGTTGCCTGCACCCTCCCCATCAAGGCCATGCCTGCACCGCCCCATCGCTGGCATGCCTGCACGCCTCCCATCGCTGGCATGCCTGCACTGCCTCCCATCGTCGGGCATGCCTGCACCGCCCCATCGTTGGCATGCCTGCACCGCCCCATCGCTGGCAGGCCTGCACAGCTCCCATCGCTGGCAGGCCTGCACCGCCTCCCATCGCTGGCAGGCCTGCACCGCCCCCACTGCTGGCATGCCTGCACCTCCCACCTGCACCGCCTCCCACTGGCATGCCTGCACTGCCTCCCCATCACATGCCTGCACCGCCCCATCGCTGGCATGCCTGCACCGCCTCCCATCTAAGGCATGCCTGCACCGCCTCCCATCGCTGGCATGCCTGCACCGCCTCCCATCGTTGGGCATGCCTGCACCGCCTCCCACTGCTAGGCATGCCTGCACCGCCTCCCCATGGCTGGTGCCTGCACCGCCTCCCATCGCTGGCATGCCTGCACCGCCTCCCACTGCCGGGCATGCCTGCACTCCCATCGTTGGCATGCCTGCACCGCCCCATCGCTGGCATGCCTGCACCCCCACTGCCATGCCTGCACCGCCCCCCATCGCTGGGCATGCCTGCACTGCCTCCCATCGCTCATGCCTGCACCGCCTCCCACTGCTGGCATGCCTGCACCGCTCCCACTGCTGGCATGCCTGCACCGCCTCCCATCGTTGGCATGCCTGCACCGCCCCATCGCTGGCATGCCTGCACCGCCCCATCGTTGGCAGGCCTGCACCGCTCCCCATCGCTGGCATGCCTGCACCGCCTCCCATCGTTGGCATGCCTGGACCTCCCATCGCTGGCATGCCTGCACCGCCTCCCCATCGCTGGCATGCCTGCACCGCCTCCCATCGCTGGCATGCCTGCACCGCTCCCATCGCTGGCATGCCCCACCGCCTCCCACGCTGGCTCTCGCACCTCCCCATCGCTGGCATGCCTGCACTGCCCTCCCATCGTTGGCATGCCTGCACCGCTCCCATCGTCGGCATGCCTGCACTGCCCCCATCGTTGGCATGCCTGCACCGCCTCCCCATCGCTGGGTGCCGCACCGCCCCATCGTTGGCAGGCCTGCACTGCCCTCCCATCGTTGGCCTGCACCGCTCCCCATCGCTGGCATGCCTGCACTGCCTCCCCATGTTGGCAGGCCTGCACTCTCCCATCGTTGCAGGCCCACCGCCTCCCATCGCTGGCAGGCCTGCACCGCTCCCATCGCTGGCAGTGCCTGCACCGCCTCCCATCGCTGGCAGGCCTGCACCGCCTCCCATCGTTGGCAGGCCCACCGCCTCCCATTGCTGGCAGCCTGCACCGCTCCCATCGCTGGCAGGCCCACCTCCCATCCTGCACGCCTCCCATCCTGCACCGCCTCCCATCCTGCACCTCCCATCGCTGGGCATGCCTGCACTGCCTCCCATCGTTGGCATCCTGCACCGCCTCCCATCGTTGGCATGCCTGCACTGCCTCCCATCGCTGGCATGCCTGCACCGCCTCCCATTGCTGGGCATGCCTGCACTGCCCCCCATCGCTGGCAGGCCTGCACCGCCTCCCATCGCTGCGCCTGCACCGCCCCCATCGCTGGCATGCCTGCACCTCCCACCGTTGGCATGCCTGCACCGCCCCATCGCTGGCATGCCTGCACCCTCCCATCGCTGGCATGCCTGCACCGCCCCATCGCTGGCATGCCTGCACCGCCTCCATCGCCATGCCTGCACCGCCTCCCATCGCTGGCACCTGACCGCTTCCCATCGGGCATGCCTGCACCGCCTCCCATCGTCGGCATGCCTGCACTGCCTCCCATCGTTGGCATGCCTGCACTGCTCCCATCGTCGGCATGCCTGCACCGCCTCCCACGTTGGCAGGCCTGCACTCCATCGCATGCCCACCGCCCCCATCGCTGGCATGCCTGCACTGCCTCCCATCGTTGGCACTGCGCCCCATCGCTGGCATGCCTGCACCGCCTCCCATCGCTGGCAGGCCTGCACCGCCTCCCCATCGCTGGCAGGCCTGCACTGCCTCCCATCGTTGGCAGAGCCTGCACCGCCTCCCATCGCTGGCAGGCCTGCACCCCTCCCATCGCTGGCAGCAGCCTGCACCGCCTCCCCATCCTGCACGCCCCATCGCTGGCATGCCTGCACCGCCTCCCATGCCTGCACCGCCTCCCATCGCTGGCATGCCTGCACCGCCTCCCATCGCTGGCATGCCTGCACCGGCTCCCATCGCTGGCATGCCTGCACCGCCTCCCATCGCTGGCATGCCTGCACTCCCATCGCTGGCATGCCTGCACCGCCTCCCATCGTTGCATGCCTGCACCGCCTCCCCATCGCTGGCATGCCTGCACCCCCATCGTTGGCATGCCTGCACCGCCTCCCCATCACCCCTCCCCATCGCTGGCATGCCTGCACCGCCTCCCATCGTTGGCATGCCTGCACCGCCTCCCATCGCTGGCATGCCTGCACCGCCTCATCGTGGCATACCCCAGCCTCCCATCGCTGGCATGCCTGCACCGCTCCCATCGCTGGCATACACAGCCTCCCATCGCTGGTTACCTACACTGCCTCCCATCCTTGGCATACCTGCACCGCCTCCCCATCGTCACACCTACCCATCGCTGGCACCTGCACCGCCTCCCCATCGCTGGCATACCCACCGCCTCCCATCGTTGGCATGCCTGCACCGCCTCCCATCGCTGGCATGCCTGCACCGCCCCATCGTTGGCAGGTCTGCACCGCCTCCCATCGCTGGCATGCCTGCACCGCCTCCCATCGCTGGGCATGCCTGCACTGCCTCCCATCGTTGGCATGCCTGCACCGCCCCCATCGCTGGCATGCCTGCACCGCCTCCCATGTCGGCATGCCTGCACCGCTCCCATCGTCGGCATGCCTGCACCGCCCCCATCGCTGGCAGGCCTGCACCGCCCCCATCGCTGGGCAGGCCTGCACTCCCCACCGCTGGCAGTCCCTGCACCGCCTCCCACTGCTGCAGGCCTGCACCGCCTCCCACTGTCAAGTGCTCCTGCACCGCCCCACTGCTGGCAGGCCTGCACCGCCCCCCATCGCTGGCAGGCCTGCACCGCCTCCCACTGCTGGCAGGCCTGCACTGCCTCCCACGGCTGGCATGCCTGCACCGCCTCCCATCGCTGGCAGGCCTGCACTGCCTCCCATCGCTGGCAGTGCCTGCACTCCTCCCATCGTTGGTGCCTGCACTGCCTCCCCATCGCTGGCAGGCCTGCACCGCCTCCCACTGGCGCCCACCGCTCCCACGCTGGCAGGCCTGCACCGCCTCCCATCGCTGGCAGGCCTGCACCGCCTCCCATCGCTGGCAGGCCTGCACCGCTCCCATCGCTGGCATGCCTGCCCGCCTCCCATCGTTGGCAGGCCTGCACCGCCTCCCATCCTGCACCGCCTCCCATCCTGCACTGCCCCATCGTTGGCATGCCTGCACTGCCTCCCATCGTTGCATGCCTGCACTGCCCCCATCGCTGGCATGCCTGCACCGCCCCCATCCTGCACCGCCTCCCATCCTGCACTGCCTCCCATCGTTGGCATGCCTGCACCGCCCCATCGTTGGCATGCCTGCACCATCGCTGGCATGCCTGCACCGCCCCCATCGCTGGCATGCCTGCACCGCCCCCATCGCTGGCATGCCTGCACCGCCCCCCATCGTTGGCATGCCTGCACCGCCTCCCATCGCTGGCATGCCTGCACCGCCCCCATCGTTGGCATGCCCATCTCCCAATGTTGGCATGCCTGCACTGCCTCCCATCGCTGCACCGCCCCATCGCTGGCATGCCCGACCTTCCCATCGTTGGGATGCCTGCACTGCCTCCCATCGCTGGCATGCCTGCACCCTCCCATCGTTGGCATGCCTGCACCGCCTCCCATCGCTGGGCATGCCTGCACCGCCCCATCGCTTGGCATGCCTGCACTGCCCCCATCGCTGGCAGGCCTGCACAGCCTCCCAGCTGGCATGCCTGCACCGCCCATCGCTGGCAGCCTGCACTGCCTCCCATTGTTGGCATGCCTGCACCGCCTCCCCACGCTGGGCATGCCTGCACCGCCTCCCATCGCTGGCATGCCTGCACCGCCCCCATTGCTGGCATGCCCACCGCCTCCCCATCGTTGGCAGGCCTGCACCGCTCCCATCGTTGGCATGCCTGCACTGCTCCCCATCGCTGGCCTGCACTGCCCCCATCGCTGCATGCCTGCACCGCCTCCCATCGCTGGCATGCCTGCACTGCTCCCCATCGCTGGCATGCCTGCACCGCCTCCCATCGTTGGCATGCCTGCACTGCCTCCCATCGCCTGCACCGCCTCCCATCGTTGGTATGCCTGCACTGCCTCCCATCGTTGCATGCCTGCACTGCCTCCCATCGCTGGTCATGCCTGCACCGCCTCCCCCACTGTTGGCATGCCTGCACTGCCTCCCACGTTGGCATGCCTGCACCGCCCCATCGTTGGCATGCCTGCACCGCCTCCCACTGGCATGCCTGCACCGCCCCATCGGCATGCCTGCACCTCCCCATCGTTGCTGCCTGCACCGCCTCCCATCGCTGGCATGCCTGCACCGCCCCATCGCTGGCATGCCTGCACCGCCTCCCACTGGCATGCCTGCACTGCCTCCCATCGTTGGCATGCCTGCACTGCCTCCCATCGCTGGCATGCCTGCACCGCCTCCCATCGCTGGCATGCCTGCACCGCCCCATCGCTATGCGCCACCGCCTCCCATCGCTGGGCATGCCTGCACCGGCCCCCATCGCTGGCATGCCTGCACCGCCCCATCGCTGGCATGCCTGCACCGCCTCCCATCGCTGGCATGCCTGCACCGCCTCCCATCGCTGGCATGCCTGCACCGCTCCCATCGCCACCCTGCACCGCCCCATCGTTGGCATGCCTGCACCGCCTCCCATCGCTGGCATGCCTGCACGCCTCCCATCGTTGGGGCCTGCACCGCCTCCCATCGCCACATCCTGCACCGCCTCCCATCGCTGGCATGCCTGCACCGCTCCCCATCGTTGGCATGCCTGCACCGCCTCCCATCGTTGGCATGCCTGCACCGCCTCCCATCGTTGGCATGCCTGCACCTCCCACCGCCAGTGCCTGCACTGCTCCCATCGCTGGCATGCCTGCACTGCCTCCCATCGCTGGCAGGCATGCCCGCACCGCCCCCATCGCTGGCATGCCTGCACCGCCTCCCCCACTGCATGCCTGCACTGCCTCCCATCGCTGGCATGCCTGCACCGCCTCCCATCGCTGGCATGCCTGCACCGCCCCATCGCTGGCAGGCCTGCACCGCCTCCCCATCGTTGGCATGCCTGCACTGCTCCCATCGTTGGCATGCCTGCACCTTCCCCATCGCTGGCAGGCCTGCACTGCCTCCCATCGCTGGCAGGCCTGCACCGCCTCCCATCGCTGGCAGGCCTGCACCGCCTCCCAGTTAGCAGGCCTGCACTCCTCCCATCGCTGGCAGGCCTGCACCGCCTCCCATCGCTGGCAGGCCTGCACCGCCTCCCACTGCTGGCATGCCTGCACCGCCCCATCCTGCACCAGCCTCCCATCCTGCACCGCCTCCCCCATCCTGCACCGCCTCCCATCGCTGGCATGCCTGCACCGCCTCCCCATCGCTGGCATGCCTGCACCGCTCCCACCGCTGGCATGCCTGCACCGCCTCCCATCGGTTGCATGCCTGCACTGCCCCCATCGCACCACTGCCTCCCATCGTTGGCATGCCTGCACCGCCTCCCATCGTTGGCATGCCTGCACTGCCCCCATCGCTGGAATGCCTGCACTGCCTCCCATCGTTGGCATGCCTGCACCGCCTCCCATCGCTGGCATGCCTGCATCGCCTCACTGCAGGCCTGCACTGCTCCCATCGCTATGCCTGCACTGCCTCCCATCGTTGGCATGCCTGCACTGCCTCCCATCGCTGGCACCTGCACTGCCTCCCATCGTTGCATGCCTCACCGCCTCCCATCGCGTATGCCTGCACTGCCTCCCATCGTTGGCATGCCTGGCCTCCCACTGCTGGCATGCCTGCACCGCCTCCCATCGTTGGCATGCCTGCACCGCCTCCCATCGTTGGCATGCCTGCACTGCCTCCCATCGTTGGCATGCCTGCACCGCCTCCCATCGCCATGCCCACCGCCTCCCATCGCTGGCATGCCTGCACCGCCTCCCATCGCAGGCCTGCACCGCCCCATGTGGCATGCCTGCACACGCCTCCCACGTTGGCATGCCTGCACCGCCCCCTTCGCCTGCACCATGCTGGAGGCCTGCACCGCCTCCCATCTTGGCATGCCTGCACCGCCTCCCATCGTTGGCATGCCCGCACCGCCCATCGCTGGATGCCTGCACCGTCCCCATCGTTGGCATGCCTGCACTGCCTCCCATCGTTGGCATGCCTGCACCGCCTCCCATCGTTGGCATGCCCACAGCCTCCCATCGTTGGCACATGCCTGCACCGCTCCCATCGCTGGCATGCCTGCACCACTCCCATCGTTGGCATGCCTGCACTGCCCCCATCGTTGGCATGCCTCACCGCTCCCATCGTTGGCAGCCTGCACCCCCCATCCGCGCATGCCTGCACTGCCCATCGCCTGGCATGCCCAGCATCCTCCCATCGTTGGCATGCCTGCACCGCCCCACTGCACCGCCTCCCCATCGAGCATGCCTGCACCGCCTCCCATCGTTGGCATGCCTGCACCGCCTCCCATCGTTGGCATGCCTGCACTGCCTCCCATCGTTGGCATGCCTGCACCGCCTCCCATCGCTGCATGCCTGCACCGTCTCATCGCTGGCATGCCTGCACTGCCCCACGTTGGCATGCCTGCACCGCCTCCCATCGTTGGCATACCTGCACCGCCTCCCATCGTTGGCATGCCCACCCTCTCCCCATCCTGCACCCCTCCCATGTCGCATGCCTGCACGCCTCCCATCGTTGGCATGCCTGCACGCCTCCCATCGTTGGCATGCCTGCACTGCCTCCCATCGTTGGCATGCCTGCACTCCCATCGCTGGCATGCCTGCACCGCCTCCCATCGTTGGCATGCCTGCACCGTCCCATCGCTGCCTGCACTCACTGCCTGCACCTCCCATCGCTGGCATGCCTGCACCGCCCCATCGTTGGCATGCCTGCACCGCCTCCATCGTTGGCATGCCTGCGCCTCCCATCGTTGGCATGCCTGCACTGCTCCATCGTTGGCATACCTGCACGCCTCCCATCGTTGGCATGCCTGCACCTCCCCCGTTGGCATGCCTGCACCGCCTCCCATCGTTAACGCCCTTCACGCCTCCCATCGTTGCATGCCTGCACGCCCTCATCGTTGGCTACGCCTCCCATCGTTGGCATGCCTGCACGCTTCTCCCATGGTAGCAGCCTGCATCGCCTCCCATCGTTGGCATGCCTACGCCTCCCATCGTTGACGCCTGCACTGCCTCCCATCGTTGGCATGCCTGCACGCCTCCATCGTTGGCATGCCTGCTGCACTCTCCCCATCGTTGGCATGCCTGCGCCTCCCCATCGTTGGCATGCCTGCGCCTCCCATCGTTGGCATGCTCCTCACGCTAGCCTCCCATCGTTGGCATGCCTGCCTCCCATCGTTGGCATGCCTGCACCCACTCGTTCATGCCTGCACTGCCTCCCATCGTTGGCATACCTGCACCGCCTCCCATCGTGGCATGCCTGCACTGCCTCCCACATCGTTGCTTACCTGCACGCCTCCCATCGTTGGCATGCCTGCACGCCTCCCATCGTTGCGCCTACCGCCTCCCATCGTGCATACCTGCCTCCCATCGTTGCGCCTCGCACGCCTCCCATCGTTGGCATACCTGCACCGCCTCCCATCGTTGGCATGCCTGCACGCCTCCCATCGTTGGCATGCCTGCCTCCCATCGTTGGCATGCCTGCTTCATCGTTGGCATGCCTGCACGCCTCATCGTTGGCTGCGCTTCCCATCGCTGACTCCCATCGTTGGCATGCCTGCACGCCTCCCATCGTTGGCATGCCTGCACCTCCCATCGTGCATGCCTGCACACCTCCCATCGTTGGCATGCCTGCCTCCCATCGTTGGCATACCTGCACCGCCTCCCATCGTTAGCAAGCCTGCACCTCCCATCGTTGGCATGCCTGCACCTCCCATCGTTATACCTTCACCGCCTCCCATCGTTGGCATACCTGCACGCCTCCCATCGTTGCATACCTACCTCCCCATCATTGCGCCTGCCTCCCATCGTGCCTACACCGCCTCCCTCATTGCTTACTGCACCTCCCATCGTTGGCATGCCTGCCTCTCCCATCGTTGGCATACCTGCACCGCCTCCCCTTCGTTGGCATACCTGCACCGCCTCCCATCGTTGGAATACCTGCACCTCTCCCATCGTTGGCATACCTGCACCACCTCCCATCGTTGGCATGCCTGCAGTCCCATGTTGGCAGGCCTGCACGCCTCCCCATCGTTGGCATGCCTGCACATCCCATCGTTGGCATACCTGCACGCCTCCATCGTTGGCATACCTGCCTGCTCCCATCGTTGGCATGCCTGCACAGCCTCCCATCGTTGGCAAGCCTGCACATACTCCATCGTTGGCATGCCTGCACCGCCTCCATCGTTGGCATGCCTGCACGCCTCCCCTCCGTTGGCATGCCTGCACTCCTCCCACAGTTGGCCTGCCTTCCATCTCGTTGGCATGCCTGCACCGCCTCCCATCGTTGGCATGCCCGCACCTCATCGTTGGCATGCTGCCCAGCACCTGCGCCTCCCATCGTTGTGCCTGCGCCTCCCATCGTTGTACGCCCACCGCCTCCCATCGTTGGCATGCCTGCTGCCTCCCATCGTTGGCATGCCTGCACCACCTCCCATCGTTGGCATGCCTGCACGCCTCCCATCGTTAGCATACCTGCCGCCTCCCATCGTTGGCATACCTGCACCGCCTCCCATCGTTGGCCCTGCACCGCCTCCCATCGTTGGCATACCTGCACCGCCTCCCCATCGTTGGCATACCTGCACCTCCCATCGTTGGCATACCTCCACCGCCTCCCATCGTTGGCATGCCTGCACGCCTCTCGTTGGCATGCCTGCACTGCCTCCATCGTTGGCATACCTGCACGCCTCCATCGTTGGCATCCTGCACTTACTCCATCGTTGGCATGCCTGCCTGCGCCTCCCATCGTTGGCATGCCATCGTTGCGCTTCCTACACCGCCTCCCATCTGTGAGCACCTCCCATCGTTGGCATGCCTGCACTTCTCCCATCATTGCTTGAGTCTACCACCTCCCATCGTTACTAGCCTGCCACTCCCATCGTTGCGCCCACCTCCCCTCATTGCGCCTGCACACGCCTCCCATCGTTGCATGCCTGCACACTTCTCCCTCATTGTTCGCATGCCTACCGCCTCCCATCGTTGGCATGCCTTACATCTCCCATCGTTGGCATACCTGCACCGCCTCCCATCGTTGGCATACCTGCACTGCCTCCCATCGTTGGCATGCCTGCACATACTCCATCGTTGGCATGTGCCATCGTTGGCATACCTGCACCGCCTCCATCGTTGGCATGCCTGCACCGCCTCCCATCGTTGGCATACCTGCACCACCTCCCATCGTTGGCATACCTACTGCCTCCCATCGTTGGCATACCTGCGCACCTCCCATCGTTGGTATACCTACACTGTCTACTATTGTTGGTATACCTACACTCTACTATTGTTGAGCATACCTACACTGTCTACTATTTGGTATCCACCTCTACCCCCATTTGGTATACCTTACACTGTCTACTATTGTTGTATACCTACACTGTCTACTATGTTGGTATACTCTCTATCTTAGTATACCTGTCTGTTCTATCGTTGTCTACCATTGTTGGTATATACACTATTGTTGGTTATACCTACACTGTCTACTATTGTTGGTATACCTACACTGTCTACTACATTGTTGGTATACCTACTGTCTACTATTGTTGGTATACCTACACTGTCTACTATGTTGGTATACTACTACACTGTCTACTATTGTTGGTATACCTACTGTCTACCATTGTTGGTATACCTACTGTCTACTATTGTATACTACCTACACTGTCTACTATTGTTGAGTATACTACACTGTCTACTATTGTTCCATGTATACTACCTGTCTACATTGTTGGTATACACTGTGTTGATACTACCTACACTGTCTACCATTGTTGGTCCCTTGCTCTATTGTTGGTATACCTTCTACACTGTCTACTATTGTTGGTATACTACCTGTCTACTATTGTTGTATACTACACACTGTCTACTATTGTTGGTTATACCTACACTGTCTACTATTGTTGGTAATACCCTACACTGTCTACTGTATACTACACTGTCTCTGTGTTGGTATACCTACACCTACTATTGTTGGTATACCTACACTTCTACATTGTTGGTATACTACCACTGTCTACTATTGTTGGTATACTACCTACACTGTCTACCTATTGTTGGTATACCTACACTGTCTACTATTGTTGGTATACTACCCTACACTGTCTACTATTGTTGGTATACTACACTGTCTACTATTGTTGGTATACTACCTACACTGTCTACTATTGTTGGTATACTACCTACACTGTCTACTATTGTTGGCTCTGTCTCTATTGTTGGTATACCTACACTGTCTACTGTGGTATACTACACTGTCTACTATTCTTTACCTACACTGTCTACTATTATACCTACACTGTCTACTATTGTTGGTATCCTACACTGTCTCTGTTGTTATACCTGTGTCTACTATTGTTGGTATACTACCTACACTGTCTACTATTGTTGGTATACTCCTACACTGTCTACCATTGTTGGTATACTACCTACACTGTCTATTGTTGGTATACTACCTACTGTCTACTATTGTTGGTATACCACACTGTCTACTATTGTTGGATACCTACACTGTCTACATTGTTGGTATACTACCTACACTGTCTACTATTGTTGGTATACCTACACTGTCTACCATTGTTGGTATACTACCTACACTGTCTACCATTGTTGGTATACTCTGTCTACTGTTGTATACCTACACTGTCTGTGGTATACTACCTCTGTCTACTATTGTTGGTATACCACTGTCTACTATTGTTGGTATACACTGTCTACCATTGTATACACACTGTCTGTGTTGGTATACCTACACTGTCTACTATTTTGATTGTATACCTACACTGTCTACTATTGTTGGTATACCACTGTCTACCATTATTTGGTATACTACCTACACTGTCTATTGTTGGTACCTACTGTCTATTGTTGATACTTATACCTACTATGTTATACTTCTGTGTTACCATTGTTGGTATACTACCTGTCTACTATTGTTGGTATACCCTACACTGTCTCTATGTTGTATACCTCACTGTTAGTATACACTGTCCATCGTTGGTATACCTACACTGTCTACTGTGTTGGTATACACACTGTCTACCATTGTTGATACCTGTCTACTATTGTTGGTATACTACCACTGTCTACTTGTTGTTGCCCTCCACTGTCTACTATTGTTATACTACCTACACTGTCTACTATCGTTGGTATACCTCACTACCGTTGTTGGTATACCACACTGTCTACCATTGTTGGTATACTACCACACTGTCTACTATCGTTATACTACACTGTCTACATTGTTGGTACATACCTACTGTCTACTATTGTTGGTATACCTACACACTGTCTACCATTGTTGGTATACTACCTACACTGTTCACTATTGTTGGTATACCCACACTGTCTACCATTGTTGGTATACTACCTACACTGTCTACTATTGCTGGTATACTACCCACACTGTCTACTATATACTACCTACACTGTCTACCATTGTTGGTATACCTACACTGTCTACCATTGTTGGTATACTACCTACACTGTCTACCATTGTTGGTATACCTACACTGTCTACCATTGTTGGTATACTACCTACACTGTCTACCATTGTTGGTATACTACCTACACTGTCTACTATTGTTGGTATACCTACACTGTCTACCATTGTTGGTATACTACCTACACTGTCATTACTGTTGGTATACCTACACTGTCCACTATTGTTGGTATACCTACACTGTCCACCATTGTTGGTATACCACCTACACTGTCTACTATTGTTGGTATACCTACACTGTCTACCATTGTTGGATACTACCTACACTGTCTACTATTGTTGGTATACCTACACTGTCTACTATTGTTGGTATACCTACACTGTCTACTCATTGTTGGTATACTACCTACACTGTCTACTATTGTTGGTATACCTACACTGTCTACTATTGTTGGTATACTACCCCACTGTCTACTATTGTTGGTATACCACACTGTCTACTATTGTTGGTATACCTACACTGTCTACTATTGTTGGTATACCCTACACTGTCTACTATTGTTGGTATACCCACACTGCTACCATTGTTGGTATACTACCTACACTGTCTACTATTGTTGGTATACCCACACTGTCTACCATTGTTGGTATACTACCCACACTGTCAATTACTGTTGCATACCCACACTGTCTACTATTGTTGGTATACTCCACACTGTCTACCATTGTTGGTATACTACCTACACTGTCTACTATTGTTGGTATACCTACTTGTCTACTATTGTTGGTATACCTACAACTGTCTACCATTGTTGGTATACCTACACTGTCTACCATTGTTGGTATACCTACACTGTCTACCATTGTTGGTATACTACCTACACTGTCTACTATTGTTGGTATACCTACACTGTCTACTATTGTTGGTATACCCCACACTGTCTACTATTGTTGGTATACTCCACACTGTCTACTATTGCTGGCATACCTACACTGTCTACCATTGTTGGTATACTACCTACACTGTTCACTATTGTTGGTATACACTCACACTGTCTACCATTGCTGGATATACTACCTACACTGTCTACCATTGTTGGTATACTACCTACACTGTTCACATTGTTGGTATACCTACACTGTCCACCATTGTTGGTATACTACCACACTGTCTACTATTGCTGGGATACTACCCACACTGTCTACTATTGTTGGTATACTACCTACTGTCTACCATTGTTG